TCTCTTCCCTTTTCTTCCCTTCCTTCCCTTCCCTTCTCTTCCCTTCTTAGTCTGATTATTATGAGAATCAGTCTCGCTTTCATATTAATACATTAGGACATTGGCTGTGATGCCCTGAGTCATGTCATGAAATGTTCTCTCCTTCTTATGTGAAGGGGACACTCCCAACTTCTCACAGAAGGGTATGATTTTTGAGATGGCTTTCCAACAGCAACAACAACAAAACAAAACAAAACAAAACAACAGCTAACAGTTATAGAATATTTTAACATCTGCAAAGTGGTTGAACATCATCATTACAATCCTGTAATGCAGGTTCTTTTTTTTTTTGAGGGAGTTTCCACAACTTTCCCAAAGTACCTACATTGCGAATGTAATAATCCATGCAAATCAGTAACCCATTGGCAGCTCATAGTTTTAGAAAGTGCCTCAGGGCACCAAACTCTGGTTGATATAGACAAAGAAGGCAAAAAAGTGAAAATTTTACATTCTAAAGAGATGTTCCTCTGGCAGTCCTTAAACTGCCACTGGCCCTTCATGCCAAGGTATAGGGTTAGAGGAATACAGCCTGGTGGCAAAGATACTTTCTTAGCTAAGAAAGATAAGGCTGAAAAGGTTGTTCTATATTTGAAGATAAGAGGAAGGGTTTGATTAAAAGGCGGCTTTTTCAAAGTATGTATTTTTAAAGTCAAATTCAGTTATACTTGTTCAAATTATTAAGTTTAGCTCATTTAGTTAAGTTTAAAAATAAGTTAAGAGTATGTGTCAGAGTCAGGGCTTTCTGATTCCAAGGTCAGCCCCCTATCCATTATACTACCCTGCCTCTTGGCAGATACCAATAGAACCTCTATTTTGCAGATAAAGAAAGTGAGGCTTAAGTTAAATAATGTTCTCAGGGTCATACAGTTAGTAAGTGTCCACAGAAGGATTTGAACTCAGGTCCTCATGACTTCAAGTCCAGCATAAGAAATAGGGAATATAATTAGGCTGATAGATCCACTCTTTTTGACCCAAATCTTTGAAATGGTATGCTTCAGTGAGATGGTTGACCAAGGTTAGGGACAAAGCCTTAAGTTATAGAATAGAGCAAGTTGATTGGTCTAAAAAAAGAACCAAATCCATGAAGTTGTCATTGTAAGACCCATTGCAGCACTGAGTCTCCAGACCATGGAGTATAGGCCACTCACAACGATGGTCATATTAACCCTTGATTCCATGGAAGAAATGGAGTTCTACCCCTCCTCCCCTGTTTCCATCACACTGAGATTACTGAATTTCTGTTCAGAAGTGTAGAGCCTGACCCAAAGCATGAATTCCAATGCACAGTGCCCTTTGATTCTGAAATTTATTCAGGGTCCTCTCACCATATTTCTGATCTACTTCTGTGGTCCACACCTTGGGCCCTGGCAAGGAATCTTCCTAATTTGTCCCAGAAGAACCCTTTTGGATGATCTTCCCTTCTTCCCTACACCTCTTTCTTGCCTTTGTGGGATGGTTTTTTGAACTGAAAGATCTCTCTGTCTCTTTGTTTGTCTCTGTCTCTCTTCCCCTCCCTCCCTCTCTGTCTCATCTTTGTCTCTTTCCCTCTCTCCCTGTCACCCTTTGTCTCCATCTGTCTTTTTTCCTCTCTCCTCTCCCTCTTCTCCCTCCTCTCTGTCCTCTGTTTCTCCATCTCTCTCTCTGTGTCTCTCTCCTTCTGTTTCCTTTTGTCTCCATCTCTTACTCTCCCTCCCTCTTCTCTCTCCTTCTCTTTCTTTCCTCTTCCCTCTCTTTCTCTTTTTCAGAAGTGTGGGGTTTAACAGACAAATGAACCCACTCAATCATGTCCTCTTAATCTGCTACTCCCAGAAACCTTGCCCCATTCCCTCAGGGACAATCTAGCATGGTTTTTGTGTGTTACCTCAGCCGCCATAACCTGGCCTTGGGTCTGGTTTACTTTTTGGTGCTTAGTATCTATCATAATATATAAGTATTTGCATCCCTCTAATCTATTCCATTCTCCCCACAATGCCTCTCTGGCTTATTGTCTAATTGCCTTCTGTCCTAATCACGTTGGTGTTTTTTTTTTTTTTTAACTGATGGGAAGCATGAGTGATGGAGCAGGGTGTCTCAGGTTTATTTTGTCCCTGGCAGTGAAAGGTTTAATGTTTAATCTTCTCTTTTCTCCATGGGACACAGCTGGGTGGTTGAGGTCCCACGCAGGGTTGATTTTGGTCATTCTTTCCCGAGCCAAGAGGACACATCCATGGCTCAAGAAACGATGCACCCATGAGATCATTGTTCCTATTCTCTAAGGGAAATCAAAGAGCTGTCTTCTAACAATGACCTTTTTTTTTTTGGGATTCCTCCAGGTCACCCCACCTGCCTGCAGTTTACCCTGAACATGACTGAGGCTGTCAAAACCTACAAGTGGCAATGCATTGAGTGCAAATCCTGCATACTCTGTGGAACCTCAGAGAATGATGTAAGTTTGAGGCTTTCCAAGTAGGGAAAGTGAATGCGGAGAGAGGAGGGGAGGGAAGGTGGGTTCTTTCCAGTGGTTCAACAAAAATGTCAGAAAGGGACCTCCTTAGCCATCGTTAAGTAGGAAAAAAAAATTCTTCAATCCACTTTCAGTAAAATGGTCTTAAGTCACTGGATCATAAGTTTAAGCTGGAAGGAACCTTAGAAATCTATCTAATTCAGAGGCATCAAATCCCAGCCCCAATGTGCCCAACTGGATAATTGGGAAATGTTTAACAAAAATACCTAAAATACAATACAGCATAGATGATGTTAATTTGTGGTTTTCTAAGTCAATCTGCAGCCTGAAAAGAACTGTTTCTATCTGAGTTTGACATCACTGTTCTTGTCCAACCTCCTCATTTTATAGATGAGGATACTAAGGCTCAGAGAGGTTAAGTGACTTGCCCAAGGTCACATAGGTGATAAGGGTCAGAGCCAAAATTTGAGTTCCAGTGCTCTGAATCACTGTTCTTTCTACTACAGGGCCCAGCCTAAGGTAGTTATGCTTGTGGAAATAGAGCTGATAGAGGTCGCTTCCCTGACCTGGGTTCTAGCTTGTTCTCTATTACTTTATTTTTCATTATTTTTTAAATTTATTTTTATTTTTTCATTATTTTTCCTTTTTCTTTTAGCCTTGCAGATAGGAGCCTTGTGGAAAATTAACTCCCAATAAGCTAAGTAAACTGATCTTTAGCAATGAGTGCTTTCCATAAATCCAGCTTTTTATGCAGTCTGGGAGGACTCTGACAGCTCTCTGAGGGAGCTAGAAGAACCTTTTGAATACATAGGAGGTGCTCATCACAGTCTTAATACTGTGACTTCCAGGGTGGTCTTGTGGGGAAGGTCCATGCAAACCCTGGCCCCTAACCCCTGCAGGATGGACTTGAGCAGCATTTATGCTTTCAGCTTGTCCTGTCCCTCTCCTAGGGCCAATCAAACCTCAGCTGTACTGGCAAGGTTTTCAGAGGAGTTAGATACTGCCAGGTAGCCCCTGGAAGTGGCTCTAGAACTAAGAAATGTTGGGCAAATAATACCTGATCTGGACAACTGCCTTGTGGATTGTTGAGTGGATATGAGGGATGGGAAGTTACTTCTATAAGGCCCCACAAGGAGTCTCCCCTATTGCCCATCAAACTTTTCTTAGATGGACTGAGGGCTTACAGGATCATAGCTGTATGAAATGAGATTTGCAAACCTTAAGACTCTATATGTGTTAGCTATTATTGTTTTTTGTGTAGAGTCAGAAAATGCTCTAGAGATCATTCAGTCAAAACAACTTATTTTTCAGACCATTTTTTTCAGAAATAGACACTCAGAGAAATTAAGTGATTTGTTCAAGGTCACTCAGAAAATGACCTTGAGGCAGGGGTAAGATTTGAACTCAGGTTTTCAGATTCTAAATCTTATGTTTTACACAGGCTTCTAAATGGAAAGGGCTCTTTAGAACAGAGAGCGGTTGGCTGAGGTTGAGAGGTAATCTCAGCCTCTCCTTTCTTTTGGGATGTCATAAAGGGTTGGAGGGGGTTGGGGGTGCTATTAAAACGCATAACAAAAAAGAAGACTAGAAGACTGGTGTCAGCATCCCTTCTCCCTGTTATTGCGCCCTCCCACCCAAATTTTCAAGTGCTCCAGAATGAGGATAGTCTCATCAAAATATCTGTACGCGAAGCTTGTTGGAATTTTGGACAGTTCCTAGGTGCCACCTGAGTCATAGTTTCACTAGCATGGATTAGTCAGAAGAGGGAAAGGCAGATCTGGGCCATACTCTACACTGAAGAATTGGGACAATGTAGGATTGGAGAGCGCACCCTGCTGTCATGAAAGGCCCAACTTTTGGGGAGTCAGATGGTCATTTTGCCATCTGTTATATGGTCAGCTAGCCAGCTCCTTCTTGGTAGTAAGCCTTCTCATTCTATAGAACATCTCACTGGCTTTTTCACTGGCTGCCCCCTGCTCTTCAATCCTAACCTGAAATGCTCTCTCTTCACCTCTGCCTCCTGGCTGCCCTGATTTCCTTCAAGCTCAAACCCCATCTTCTTCTTTTTTTGGTGGAGGGAGAGAGGCAATGGGGTTAAGTGACTTGCCCAGGATCACACAGCCAGTAAGTGTCTGAGATGGAATTTGAACTTAGATTCTCCTACTTTCAGGGTCGGTGCTTTGTCCACTGAGCCATATAGGTGCCCCTCAAATCCCATTTTCTTCAGGAAGTCTAGCCTTGTCCACCTTCTCTTCCACCCACTCTCCACCCCACCCCACCCCCAAACTGCAAGTGACTTCCCTCTGAGATTACTTCCCATTTACTCTCATTCTGTCTTAGATGTTCATAATTATGTGCATGGCTTGTCCCTCTTTAAAATACGACTTCCCTGAAAGTAGGAACCAAGTTTTTGCTTTTCTCTGTACCCCCAGCATTTGAACTTAGCCCAAAGTAACAGTACCTGCACATAGTAAACACATAATAGAAACTTATTGACTCCATCACTGGTTGATGTCTCTTTTTCAGCCCTCTCCTTTCTGCTTCTATCTCAGACCCTTGGATTTGGGTGCCCTGAGAAATTCTTTTTCCAACCCAACCGTGCCAGTTTTTTGGTTTTTGCTTCTTTGGCTCCCATTTGGGACCTTGCCCCTCTTTCCCTAGGTAGAGCTTTTCCCTCTGTCTCTGGGACTGCCTTCATTCCTGGAGAGTATCCTTCTCTGTGGGTGACATGATAGGTTTCATCATTCAAAGGGGGCCTTCTTGCAGCCTACTGAGGAGGGAGAGAAAGGAATGATCCCCTGTGGGAGGAAAGAGATGGCAGTAGTTATAAAAAAAAGGAGGGAGGGGAAGCTGAGAGAGAATTGGTGGAGGGAAGGGAAAGTTAAGAATGTCTTCTTGCAAGCTTTAAAGTCATCCTAAATTCTCTCCCAGCATCTCCTGTGGCTCAGCCAGGTGCAGTGAAGGGGTAGTCACCCTTGGAGCTGGGGAACCATGGTCTTCTCAAATATCAAGGTTAAAGAACTTTCAAAGACCAGGCTGCTAGAGTGGATCCTGACTCCTAGAGGTCATGAATGGGTTCAATTCAATCCAATAAGCATTTATTAAAAACCTGTCTTTCCAGATTTATTTCCCATTGCTTACTCCTTCTTGTGCTCTACATTCTGGCTTGCTGTTCCCCTTACAAAACATGCTATCTCCCACCACTGGCTGCACCCAATGCCAGGAATGCTCTCACTCCTCAGCTTAGGATTTCTAGTTCCATCCAAGGTTCAGTTCAAATGTCACCTCACATAAAGCCTTTCCTGAACCTCTCTCAATTGTTAGAGCTTCCCTCCCTTTGCAATGGCTCTAGGCTTACTTGATATACTTCTGTGTTTATTTATCTGTATGCGTATTCCCCTCTCCTCCATTTCTCCACTTCTCCTCCTCCCAGTTGACCATAAGCTTATGGAAGGCAGGGGCTGTTTTCATTTCTGTCTTTGTAAATATACACATATCATATTTGTGAAATATTTGTAAATAGATATTTGTAAACATAAACATATCACAGAACCTTATGCATAATAGATACTTAACACTTGGTTGCTGAGTTAAATTGCAACATTCAAGACACTGATTTAAATACATGTCCTAACATGAAGCTTTTCTATATGTCCTTGCTCTGCAGACTAGACTTTGGCTCTGATGGAAGCAAAGATGGGTTTTGAGACTGAACTCAACTTTGCAAACACTCTTTTGCTCACCTGCCTGGGGGCTGGGGTGATGGTGGTGCTGAAACACTTGACAAGTCATTGGTCAGTAGCCAAAGGAATGAGGTTCACCTCCTGCCTGGAAGATTGGGGATCCCAAACCCTAGTTTTCCTTTGCTTATCACTGCCCAGATCTTAGTTTGTTTCAGTCTCTGTCTTCCAGGATAGCCTGTGAGAAAGAAAGGGAGGCTTGGACCTTGCTTTGCTTCAGGGAGCTGAAAGGGACGCACTGCTTCATTTTCTCTTCATTATGGAGAGTTGTAAAGGCGCAGAGTACTGCTAGGATGTTTTTCCCATTAGAGTCCCCCCTGGAATTAAGCCAAAGGACAGAGGAGTTCAAGGCGGGACAGTGACACCTTGCTGACGCTAGGTACAAGTGATAAGGTCAACAAGTGATCCCTGAGCACTCATTACGTGTGTCTGGCACTGTGCTGGACACTGTGAGTTGGAGATTCATAGAACCATTCCTGATTTCATGGAGTTTATAGTCTAGTGAATAAGCCTTTTTTTATCAAGAAATCAGGCCCTGTGATTTCATTAGCATAGAGAATTTCTGTTGTGGAAACTCCCTCCACCAATGCTCAACAGCTCCACTTGGGACTCTAATTTATAATCTTTAAAAGTTGCCTAAAGGGGAAGCTAGGTGGCGCAGTGGATACAGTATCGGCTCTGGAGACAGGAGGACCTAAGTTCAAATCTGACTTCAGACACTTGACACTTACTAGCTGTGTGACCCTGAGCAATCATTAATCCCATTGCGTAGCCCCCCCCCCAAAAGTTGCCTAAAATTGGAGATGACAGAAAAACAGAAGATTTTTTTTTTTAAAAAGTTGCCAGAAACACCAAGAAGTTTCTACTTTCCAAAGGCTAGGATGTGTTAGAAGCAAGATTTGAACCCAGATGTTCTGGGCCTCAAACTCAGTCATCTATCCATTACACAGACTGTCTTTTAGCTTCTCCAACCAGAGCTATGATTTCATCAGCATGGGGAGGGGACTCTTCTCCACTGAAGTGGCTGCTCTATAACTTCTAGTCTTAGTTGCTAGGATCACTGAGATGTCAAGTGATTTGCCCATAGTCACTCAGCTGGTATGTATCAGACAGAATGTGAACTGAGAGCTTTCTGACTTCCAGGATGGTGTGCTATTCATTAAACAAAGTTGCCTCTCTATGCTATGAAAAGTTAAATAAACATAAAATAGTTTTTAAAATTTGATTTTTAAAAATCTAGATATATAGAAAAGGAGGAGGGCGTTCCAGTTGATAACAGTACCAGTGGCAGGTAAGTACATGAGAAATGTCCAAGGATTGTTGAATAGGTCAGTTTGTTTCGTTCACAAGGTGAGTAGATGAGATTAGAAAGGCAGATTAAAGCAGGATTTTGGTGATCATCATGAAATATTTATGGACCTAAAAGATTAACTCTGTTCTCTCTCTCTCTCTCTCTCTCTCTCTCTCTCTCTCTCTCTCTCTCT